GCAGCTGGAAGTCCCCGCAGCCGCCATGGGCACTGCAACCCCGAGCAACCCTGTGGTCAGGGCTGCTGACCCGGCTGCCCTCTCCCCCCACACAGCAGGCTGCTAGCTGAGCACTGCTTCCAGGAGCAYATCCTCCATGACTCACCTGCACGAGGACTGGCCCCCAAGGTTACTTCAGGTGCGACCCCATGGCCCCTCTTCTGTCTCCCGTCCCCTTGGCAACCCCTTTCCTTCCCCACAGGCAGGAAGAGAAGGCACCAGGGAGCTTCTACAAGACCCTGGACCCTCCCCTTCCCCAAGGACACCCCCCACCAGGAGCACAGAAGGCACAYACCCAAAGAGAGCCCCTGCCCAAAGTCCCTCTGATGTCCCCAACATCAGGAAGTCACATGGTTCACTGGTATTTATCATATACAATCATCCCTCTGGATCTGTGGGTTTGACATCTGAGGATTCAATTAACTGTGGATCAAAATATTGCCAAAAATCTACCTCTTCTGAACATGGAGACCTTTTTCTTGTCATGATTTCCTAAACTGTACAGTACAAGGACTTTTACCTAGCAGTCACACCACAGGACCTGTCATCTGGAGATGATCAAGGGCATGCGGAGGACTGTGTAGGGTCCATGCAAAGGCTACTCCACTTTACCTAAGGGATTTGAGCACCCGCGGGTTTGGTGTGTGCTGGGTGGTGTCCTGGAACTGATGCCCACAGGGGTGTCTGATGGTCACAGGGCCAACTGTGCTCTGCCACAGGAGAGGGGCCTTGCAAACCCATGCTGATGGACAGCCAGGAGGACGGTTCAGGGAGCACAGTGCTGCAGCTTCTCGGGCGGGGCCCGGCCTCTGAGAGCTCTCCTCCCACTGCCCAGCCCCGCGGCTGCAAGTCTGCAGGGGGAGAATATTTAAGATACACGGATAGGGGAAGCTGTCTGGTTTTCAGACAGCCCCCTTGATTTACAACCCCGAAGTTGGGCCAGTGCAGGGGTTTGGAGAAAGACCAATTTCATTTGCTTACAAGTCTGATCCTGAGGCTCTGGCGTTTCTGCAGATCCTGGCAATCATTTGCTGTTAATTACCGTTGGATTCTATCGCTGCAGGAATGGACCTGCACCCGCCCACCCACTGCAGGKCTTGAAGGCTCTGCAGGGGCAGGGGCTGCCGGGCACTGACTCCATTCAAGCACAGCGTCTTCCGTGGCGTTATTTTAGGCCCCCGAGGTTTTTCTTAATGAAGGGTGGCCAGTTGCCTCCCGAGAGCGCCCTCTGCACCTGAATCTCTGCAAACATAATTTATTTGCCAAAAGACTCAGAGTCTCACAGCAAACGAAGCTGCATCAGGCTTAGAAAAACAAGAAGCCAGCTCGACATTTCTATTTTTACCTGGTGTTTCCACAGGGGCTGAGGCTAGTGGTTTCGAACTCAATTTAGTATTTAAACTAATTTTCAGCCAGGTCTCTGTGGACCAGCCAGTAGGGGAGGCACAGAGTTCCAAGGAGGAAGCTCCGGCCCCTCCTGGCAGGCTGTGGGTCTTTGGAGACGCTCCCTGGCTCCTCCTATCCTGGGCCAGGCGCCACGGAACCCCACAACCTGCTGCAGCAGTGCCCACAGGGCCTTCGCCAGGCCCAGCGCTCAAACAGACCCCGACGGCCAGGTCCATCTGCTCTTCCTCGTGGCTTTCCTGGGAAGGATCTGAGAACTTCCTGAGGACTCCGCAGCACGCCGCGGGCCAAGAGGTACACGGCGAGGGTCCACAGGAGAAGAAAGGCCCTTTCAGGTCCCAGAGCCACGCCATGCTGGCCGGGCAGCCATGCTAGTCCAGGGCCAGGCCCTCTTCCCCGCCAGGCCGCCAGCGCTTGCGTGACCTCTGCGTTCGTTCCTCGGAGTCCCAGCTGTGCTCTTTGTTTTCTGTAATTTTAATTTTGTGCGGTGATGGTGTTTGCGTGACAGGAGATCACGGCACAAACCGCAAAGGTGAGAAAATAACGCGGGCCCAGCCGTCCCCATCTCCTGGCCCCTTCTCGGTGGTCACAGTTCCTGTGCCCGACTCCTGTCCTCTCCTCTCACTGGCCTGATCAAGTGGCATCCACGGGGCTAGTCTGCAGCTTTCTTTATCTACTGGGTCACTTAGTACGTCCTAGATAACATCTAGTTCCCCAAGTTCTTTCCACCCTTCATATTTCTGGAGTCAGGGAATCAGGCCTGAGGCTTCAAAGTCCATTTCTTAAGAATCCGGGTAAATGTCCCCACAACAGCCCCCGCAGAGGGGAAGGGAGAAGACAGAAGGAAGTGCTTTCCTGTCRGGCCAGGCAGACACTTTGATGTCCCTGTCAACCACCATCCACGCCCCAGCACCAGCCACAGATGGACACCGGGGTCAGAGGCCAGACAATACCCCACAGAGTAACCCCAYTGGATCTGATACTCCTACCATCTTGTAGCAAAGACAAAGCAGGGTTGCAAGAGGTCAGACAGTACCAGTGCCGGTCCACTGAGGCTGAGGACTGGGGCAGGGACGGCTCTCATTGCCAAAGTCCACTTTCTTGCCCGTTTATCCAGACGATGGCTTAAAAACCCAAAACTACCAGCTCTAGGGCTGTGGGRCGTAGCTCAAGGCCCCAGCATCACAAACAAAATAAAACAGAACACTCCTCAACATTTTTGTTGATAAAGATTCTATAAAGATCAGCATCACAACTGCCATGCCAGTTCCGAGGCCCTCCAGTGTGAGGTGGCACACTAGCTCCCCTTCGTGAGGGACACTAGACACAGAGAAGGGTCCTCCCAAACTGGACCCGGGGAGTGGCCAGGAGGATTCCCCTGGAGCTTCTGGGATCAGGGATGTGGACTTGACCTGCAGGACCTCCCTAAGGAGTCACCAGTACTTCCAGAAAGTGAAGGGCCAAGGCCTGGCAAGAGGGGCGGGTGGGTCACTCCTGCACACTTTCAGTTCTACAAAGAGCTAAGGGATCAAAGCACCCACAGGAGCACATGCTGGAGAGGAGAGCCACCTGAACCTGGGCGGGGGCAAGCAGCACCTGAGGTCAGGCATGGGGCACCACTCGCTTCCCCCAGGGCAAGTCAGCYTCTTACTCAGCCCCAGCCTCACCTCTCCCGAGTCCTGGCTGTCTGGCTGCTCTAGGGACTCCGCTGGAGAGGAAGCAGGCGCAAAGAGGGCTCTGCCCATTGGCAGGTCTTCAACAGGGCTTGGGGGAGCCAGTGGGAGGGGCGTGCTGCTGGCCAAGGTGGGGCTCCTGGGTGACCTGGGGGCCACTTTCATCCCTGACAGTGTCCCTATTACCGCCCGAGCTCTCAGAGGGCTGGCTGCACTGTACTCAGAGAAGCCCAGCTGAGGGCATGAGAGTCCTCTTGCCCTGCTACAGCCACTTGCTGAGATGCCAGGAGAGGCGCTGTGTGGCTGGGGGCTCCACGGTGACTCCAGATCACACCTTCAACCGCAAAGTCCCAGAATGTGCCTGAAGCCCACGAACTGCATGGTTTCCCAGGTGGCCCAGCAACACCTGGCCCAGGGCCACCGTGCCCAGGCACCACCCTGGTCCTGCTCGCCAGGCCCTTGCTGGAGATGGCAGGCCACAGGGGCAGAGCTCTGGGCTCCTCCCTGTGAGACCTCCCTGAGCACTCCCGGGAACTCCCACACCTGCCGTGAGGGAGCAGGGCACGAGGGGCCCTCTCACGGCACCTCTGCAGTGCCCCGGAATCCTAAGGTCAGAGCGAGCAGAACTGGCTCCTGTGTCAGGACAAGCCCGGTGGCACCGTGAGTCCTGCACGTGCACCACAAGGCCTGGGAGGGCAGGGACTTGCACACAGGCCACACYCTGAGAAGCACCCAGTGGAAGCACCTCCGCCATGGGGCGACGATCGTAAGCAAGGCCGCTTTCATTACACGAACTCACGATAACAGGTTAAAGAGACAAGGGCACCAGAGGGCATCGTGTGGTAGAGGAGGTCCTCTGTGATGCCCCGGCCAGCCGCACGCAAGCTCACAAGACCTCTAAGGAAGACGACTGTCACAGGTGAATAAGCCATCCCAGACGTCAGTCAGCCTGTGATGGCAGCTACTGCTCTAGAGTGCTCCACCAAAGCCCTGGGGGACCGCCGGGGGACACATCAGGAACTGCAGCAAGCCCGCTCAACCTGCTCCTGCTGCCACATACATGCACTCCTGGGGCCTTGGACACGGGCAGCTGCACGCTGACCACCGTTCTGAGCCTGTGAATCCCACAGAATTACTGCGGTGTCACTGGGGAAGAGAGAGCAGAGCCACCAGTGGTCCTTGTATCCTGCCCTCCCGGCTCGGTCCTCCCTTCGGATCACAGTGACTTCCCACTTCACATGGTGAGGTGGAAAGAAGTGGGTGTCTGCAGGAAAGAGGTCCAGGCTCAAGTCTTAGCACCGAAACTCACAAGCGGGAGATCATGGGGACCTGATCCCCGTCTTCGGCTGCCTGCTGTGCCCAGGAGGGTCCTAACAGCATCCACCCCCGAGGGCACTGTGCACACCCAAAGCAGTAACAGGAAGGTCTCTGTGACGCCTAAAATGCCATTTTCACTGTCTCCTCCTGTGGCCCCTCCCCCTCCACCAGAGCTGGGCTGGCGGCTGTCATCTGGTCTCTGTGCCAAGCGTGGCTGTGACGTCCTTTCCTTTGTGCTTTGCTCTGGGAGTCACAGAAGAGCGCTGTYGGACATTAGTGCCAGAAAATTTCTAGGACCGTCACCCACGCCGCCAACCACTTCAAACAGGCATACCTAGGCCCCAGGTCACAGAAAGCCAGTGGGTGGCAGCCCCAGGTCTCCTGTCTGGCTGTCCTCTCCCACCCACCAGCCCTCCTCTCTTCTCCTGCAGTCCCATCTTGGTCTGTCCCTCCCCTGAGATGAACGCTCCCTGTCACGGGTCCCTTTGCACCTGTGACATGCCCTTACCAAGGGCCACCTGCTTGGCTTAGTAGGAGGAGGTGCAGGGCTGCRGCCAGCCGGGTTACCTTGGCATTCTGCAGGGGCGGCTGATAACTGGAGGGCCGGTAGAACACCCGCTGGGTGGCGTCTGTGTGGATGTCCCCGAGGAAGAGCTCCTGCACCAGGTGGTCCAGGTTCTGGTGCAGGTACTGCTTCTCCACGCGGATGAGCTGCAGCTCGTGCATGGCAAAGTTCACGGCCCTGGTGCACTCGCAGCCGTTCTCCTCCCGCCACAGGTCGTAGGCCACGTCCTGCACCCAGGGGCCCCCGGTGGCCAGGAAGCCTGGACATGTGCGGTTCACCAGCTGGCTGAGCTGCTCGGCCACCGCGTCCGTGTGGCAGATGACCTGGACGTTGTGCAGCTGGTAGTCGGCCTCCGTGCCTCCACGGATGATCCAGGAGGCCTGGCGCAGGCGGATCTTGCCACGGATGATGAGGGTATAGGTGGGATTTGTGCACCGGTTGCTGCCATAGTAAAATTGGTAGGCCTGAAAGGTGTTGTTGTGGTAGAACCTGTAGGACCTCGTGAGGAACTCTGGCCCCGACCGCACCTCGCAGCTGGAGGAGAGAAGAGGAGAGGTGGTGAGCCCAGGGCAGGGGGAGAGACAGGGGAGGAGAGGTGGGGAGCCCAGGGCAGCAGGAAGGACAAGGGAGGAGAGGTGGGGAGCCCAGGGCAGGGGGAGAGACAGGGGAGGAGAGGTGGGGAGCCCAGGAAAGGGGGAGAGATGCATGCCAGCAGCAGCACACACAACATGTTATCTACATTGCTGGCCTGCAGGTCCAATTCTTTGAATCCTTACACCAGCCAGGGGTTACATATGATTATCACCTCATTTTACAGCTGGGGAAATGGAGGTACAGGCCAGGACACGTGGCCAGCTACTGCATGAATCCAGGCAGCAGGGCCCCAGGGACTGCTCTGAGCACTGCACCAGTCTGTGTTCACTGGGGAACAAGCCGGGGGAGCCCAGGCTCCTCAGTCCTGGCTGTGGGCCTAATTCACAGGGACATTTCCTTCTGGATAAGGAAGAAGAGTGCGGAGCAGGCCTAGCAAAGGAATTCCCTTCTCTGGATCAAAAGCGGGTGACTTCACGAAATGTCATTTAAGGGACTGTGTCTAGTGCAGGCAGAGGCAAGATGTACACTGTCTTGAAAGGGAACCTAGTCCCTGGTTGTAGAAAAATTCACCCTCCCTCCCACCCATTCAAAAGGGATTTTCCCTCTGGGGGCGGTGGGGGTGGGAGAAGAGGCCACTAAGTGAAAGGGAAGCTAATACAGCACCAGGAACAAGGGTCCCTTTGGCTTGTGTGGGCTGACAGGGAGGAAATGCCCTTTGCTGGGGCGTTAGATAAAGGCTGGGGTCCTGACCAGGACACTCAGACTGGCAACCACAGCAAAGGTGTCTGGGGTTTCAGCTCTGGGCCTCTGCACTGTTCCAGCTGCCACCAAGTGTCATGGCTGCACAGCCCAGGGCAGCAGAGGTGTAGAGCCAGGGTATGCGATGCCTCCCCCAGAGACTGGTGTGTTGAAGCTGCTTGGGCCCTAATGCAGCGGTGCACAGCGGCTTCTGGTGATTGGATCACGAGGGCTCTGACCCACAGGATGGGTTAATAACTTGAGTGGATTCTCTCAAGAGGTGGTGGAAACAGGAGGAGGTAGGGCCTGCTTGAAGGGAGTAGATACTGGGTAGGCCCTGAGAGGGGATTTCTTGCCCCTGAGCCCTTTCTGTCTTCTCTTCCCAGCTGCCATGAGCAGAGCAGTGCCCTTTGGCCGTGCCCTTCCGCCCCGATGCTCTGCCTACCTCAGGCCCAGAGCAAGGGAGCCAGCAGACTAWGGACTGAAACCCTGAAACCATGAGCCAAAATAAATTTTTCCTCCTTAGAGCTGTCTTCTCAGGCATTTGTCACAGTGATGAAAAGCCAAATAACAGGAGGAACTCCTTAAATCACTGGCCAAAGAGCCTGTCCATGAGCTTCTGTGAGATCCCAGCTTCTGGTCCTGATTCTCAGCTCCCAGAGCTGGCCTTCAGTCCCTGCTCCTGTCTACAACTTGAACAGAGATTCYGGGCTGAGCTGACACAACACGGGTACATCAAGCCACTCAGGCCTTCTCAGAACCGCTAACATGCTAGTTCTTCAGCTGAGACCTGAGAGAGAGAAAGCTACATCAGGGGGTACCCGTGGCAATAGAAAGTTGTCAACTAGTGTCAAATGACATCCTATGGATGTAAGACACAGGGGTCCTGCAGGCACCAGTCACTGGAGCCACAGGGGTRAGGAGACACTCCAGCTCTCTCCTCCAAGGAGAGAGGAGAGAGTGAGCAGCACCCAGGTCACGGAGGCTGAGGAGAGCCTCTTGATGATTTGTCTTGTCAGCACTGCTTTCGTCCACTGCATCCTGGGCCCTCCTCCCTAATGCATCCCAGGCCTTCCTCTCCACTGCATCCCGGTCCCTCCAGCCCTCTGCAACCCAGGGCTTCCTCCCCACTGCATCCCAGGCCCTCCTGCTCACTGCATCCCAGTACCTCCTCCCCACTGCATCCCAGGCCCTCCTGCCCACTGCATCCCAGGCCCTCCTTCCCACTGCATCCCAGACCGTCCTGCCCACTACATCCCAGGCCCTCCTGCCCACTACATCCCAGGCCCTCCTGCCCTCTGCAACCCAGGCCTTCCTCCCCACGGCATCCCAGGCCCTACTGTCCACTGCATCCCAGGCCCTCCTCCTCACTGAATCCCAGGGCTTCCTCCCCACGGCATCCCAGGCCCTACTGTCCACTGTATCCCAGGCCCTCCTGCCTACTGCATCCCTCCCCACTGCATCCCAGGCCCTCCTCCTCACTGCATCCCAGGCCCTCCTGCCTACTGCATCCCAGGCCCTCCTGCCCACTGCATCCCAGGCTCTCCTCCCCACTGCATCCCAGGCCCTCCTCCCTACTGCATCCCGGGCCCTCCTGCCCACTGCATCCCAGGCCCTCCTCCCCACTGCATCCCAGGCCCTCCTCCCCACTGCATCCCAGGCCCTCCTGCCCACTGCATCCCAGGCCCTCCTGCCCACTGCATCCCAGGCCCTACTCCCCATTGCATCCCAGGCTCTCCTCCCCACTGCATCCCAGGCCCTCCTCCCTACTACATCCCGGGCCCTCCTGCCCACTGCATCCCAGGCTCTCCTCCCCACTGCATCCCAGGCCCTCCTCCCCACTGCATCCCAGGCCCTCCTGCCCACTGCATCCCAGGCCCTCCTCCCCAATGCATCCCAGGCCCTCCTCCTCACTGCATGCCAGGCCCTCCTCCTCACTGCATCCCAGGCCCTCCTCCTCACTGCATCCCAGGCTCTCCTCCCCACTGCATCCCAGGCCCTCCTGCCCACTGCATCCCAGGCCCTCCTCCTCACTGCATGCCAGGCCCTCCTCCTCACTGCATCCCAGGCCCGCCCATTCTCCACTGCCTGTCACTCTGCTCACCAAAGCCTCTGCCCTCTCCACTCAGAAGTGAGTGACAGTCTTTTAGTATCACCCCCGATCCCTGTTGCTCCTGTGTGGTTGCCACTCAGCAGCTGCAGTGCTCTTTAGGAAAGGCGAAGCTGAAAACTTCCCAGTTCTCTCCAGTGAGAAACCTGCATGGGGGCACGTGGGGCGCTCCTGTCATTCCAAGCAGAGGGATGGCTTGAGCCCAGTAGCAGCAGTCAGCCTGGGCAACAGAGAAAGACCCCTTCTCAAACAGACCAATGCCCCAAAAGGGACCTGCTGTGCAAGGTGCCTTTGGAGCTGGCTCCACCCTCTTCCTGGTACTCTCCTGCTCACTCCACCCAGCTGGCTGCAGGGTCCTCTTGCCCACTCTGCCTCCAGCCTAGACTTTGCTAGTTCCTCCAGACTGAAGCCCCTCCCACAGCCTCTGCAGGCAGCTCACCTCTGCTGGACTTTCTGGCCCCCACCCTGATCCTGAAGTGGGGGCCCTGGTGTTTTCCTGCCACCTGTCATACTCCGTGCCCCTCGGCCATGGGACTTCTTCGAATAGATTTACATATATTTGTAAAATCCCTGAAGATAGGGACCAAGTCTGTTTGGTGCACTGCTTTATACAGGAAGTATAACATAGTGCTTGGCACATGGTAGGCACCTAATAAATGGCCATTTTAAAGTTATGATCTTGCATTAAGAATCTTATGCAAATAATTTATAATGCCTTTACTTTAAGAGACTCCCATTTTTAGAAAAAAAAAATCTGAATCTTCAACATCGTATAACATTTCTTTTCCCTCTTCTCTGACATGCACTTGATCCCTCCCCACGGGACCTGGAGGCTACTTATCCGACCCCAGGAACAGTGCACGGGGAGAAGGGATCCTATCCCAGGGTTTGTCTAGTTAATGCTCAACAATTTAGTGGGCAGAAAAAAAATCCCAGATCTGCCTCTAGACTGTTTTTAAAAGCTCTAATCGAAGATAAGCTGGAGCTCAAACTGGGGTAAATCTCAGCCTCACGGCATGGAAACGAATCTCAGAATCACGCGCTGGTTGGCGGAGGTAGCTCTCACCTCGCTCTCTAGCGAGCCCTGAAGCCACAGATTGAGTTACCAGGATATGGCTAGAACCTAGAGGCCACAGGAGCTTGCCAGGCATGTTCAGGGTTGGTGACACACAGACGCTTAATTTCACTTGCTAATGGATTCTTTTTATGTACAGTGGTCCCGCGGAGTTCAGTACACAAGGATCTATTCACTCATGGCTGTGGTTCAAGTAGCACAATACAATCTCTGCTCCAGCGTAGGATTTCTACAGCACTTAGCTGTTTCTTAACCAACCATCATTTCTAACCTGGTCCTTCATTAGGACTCACACAACACTGTAGGCTATACAGAGTTCAAGAACCAGAGAAACCGCCCGGAGGGTCTTCTGGTCCCTCCCCAGCCCCCCCTGCAACCCTTGAGCTCTCACCCTGTGGAGACCCAGTGGCCCTCGATGGTCGGTGGCATCTGCACAGTGATCCGCGCGCCATTGTGGAGGTGTCTGAGCATGTGGTGACACTGGGACTCCTTGAAAGCCCTCCAGGCACTTTTCTCTAAGGACCGAGGATGGGATCTGCCATCAGGATGAAGGAGGGCAGAACCCTCTCCCAGCCCTGGAAAAGAAAGGTGGGCAGTTAGGGAAGGGCCCGGAGCATTCGAAGACTGTGTGGGACAACCTCCTGCAGCAGGCAGTGGCTGAGAGTGGCAGCCATAGGCTTCCTCTGTCGTGTGCCACTCTGCTGGCTCCCACAGGACCCAGCCTCCAAGGGGAAGTGTCCCTGGGAGCCACTTCCCAGGTGGCAAAACTGAGGTCCATGGGGACAAGGGCTTGCTTTTGCTTGAGGTCACCTGGCTAGGTACCAGCAAAACAGGAGTTTGAATCCGTGCATCTATGAACGGTGACTAAGGCAGGCACCTGTGGGAGCACCTGTGTGGTGCAGGCAAGGGAGTGACCACAGCTGTGGAGGACAGCCATGGACATGTCCCAGAGCCACCAGGGGAGGAGACGGGGTTGAAGGAAAACGTGAGAAAGGGGTCACTGGGAAGGGTGGACACGTGTGCCAGGCCACCTGTGGATGAGGAAGGAGAGAGCTAGGACACCAGTCTCGGTAGAAACGTAGCCTGGGAGATGGAAGGACCAGGGGCCGGGGAACAGCTCTGGAGCTTCCAGCAGGGAATCTCTTCCCTTGGTGGCCCCATCTGCTCACACCAGCACGTGCATTTTCTAGCTCTCTCCGCCTCTGGGTGGAGGTCCTTGCTCTGATCTGAGTGCAGTGTGTCCCCAAGGGCTTGCGAGTCAAAAGCTTGGCTTCCAGTGTGGTGTTGCTGAGAGGTGGAGGGAGCTTCAGGAGACGGGGCCCAGGACAGACATTTAGGCCACAGGGTGCTGCCCTCAGGAGATGAGTGCAGTCAGTGGGACCCTGGATGGCGGTCGCAAGGGGGCTGTCATAAAAGAATGTGCCTGGCCACTCCCCAGCCTCTCATACTTCCTGACTTGCCATGGGACCTCCGCCTCTCACCAGTGCTCCTGCCAGCGTGCCRACTGCCCTGTGACACAGCCACGGGGCCCAGAGGAGAACCAGTCCTGTGCCAACTGGGCTATCAGCCTCCAAGACGGAGCTCCACAAGAACCCAGTCTCGGAAAAACTGAACAGTCCACACAGTCTTTGTAATCAAGATAATCACGAGAAGATCACAATTTTGTTTCTGGAGAGTAAAGCACGACTAGGAATAAGTTTATCTTCACAACGGTATTTTAGGTTGGCCACCATCTACCCATGCAAAGTCACCACCAGCTGACATCCAGAGGAAAGCAATGGGGACAAATGGGGCATCGCTGAGAGCCCAGTCCCCCTTGAGATTCTCTCCTGAAGGGACCAACAAATTGATGGGTCTTAGGGAGGACCTGCCATGTATTTGACACCATGTCAACAGAAAGAGACACAGGMTAGACAAATGTGTGAAAATACAACAGAATCTACATAAAGTCAAACAACCCATCAGATCACKGCTCCTGAGGAGGCGATCCTTCGATTTCATCCAACCCCTGAATGACCTCATGGAGACCATGGCTCACGAGGGCCATCTGAAATCACAAGTGAGACCCAGAGTACAGTGACTTACAGCCACATGAAGAAAATCTACCAGGACATACTCAGGCCTGCAGGCAGGTGACATCCAGATATCTGAAATTTCTAGATTTCTGTCATATCCAGGTATCTGCTCTCATGTGGTCGAAAAACTCAAAGATGRAGCTACTGTTTGATGGATAGTCCTGGCTGCGAGACGGCAGCGTCCCCATGTGTGACCTGGGTTTTCCTGCAGGTGAGTGCTGGTTTGGGAAGGAGCAGGATTCCAGCTGCTTTGGCACCTCACCTGAGCCCATGGCAAGGAGGCATGGCACCTCCTGGCATCTCCACCAGGTAAACCGTGACCAGCAATCCCAGACACAGATGACTGGGTTGGAGTTGGGGTTAGGGGGTTAGGGTTAGGGCTAGGGGGTTAGGGTTAGGGAGGTAGGGTTAGGATTAGAGTTAGGGTGTTAGGGTTAGGGTTAGGGTATTTGTATTAGGCTTGGGGTGTTTGGGTTAGGGTTAGGGGGATAGGGTTAGGTTGTTAGTGTTGTTAGAGKTAGGGTTAGKGTTAGGGTTTCAGGGTCAGGGTATTAGGATTATGCAGTTAGGGTTAGGGTATTTGTTTTAGGRTTAGGGTATTTGTTTTAGGGTTGGGGTGTTAGGGTTAGGGGGATAGGGTTAGGTTGTCAGTGTTAGGGTTAGGGTTAGAGTTTCAGGGTCAGGGTATTAGGATTATGCAGTTAGGGTTAGGGTATTTGTTTTAGGATTAGGGTATTTGTTTTAGGGTTAGGGTGTTAGGGTTAGGTTGATGCTGCTAGGGTTAGGGTTAAGTAGCTCAGGTTAATGCAGTCTCCCCGCTGGCTCTGTCTGGCCCAGTCCACTGCCTCTGGCTTGAGCTGGAATGAGGGAAACTGCAGAAACRGGAGATCTCTGTCTGGTGACCTCGTTACTATGTTGGAGGGTCCTCCTACTGGAGGGGCACTCCTGGTGTGTCCCCGCGGCCCTCACCATCCCTCCCCAGGCCATGGGAGGAGGCAGGTTGCCTTTCCCAGCCATTTTTCTCCTTCTGTTTACAGCCAGGCTGTTTACAAAGTATGTGCATTTTGACCTGCTCCCCCAGGTCTGATGACGGTGCCCTTCAGTGGTCAGCTCTGGCTCTGGGGCAGYCAGCAAGGGATGAATCTGGTGAACGACTGGCCCTCCTATCATGGACACCAGTGTCAGCGTCCTCTGACTGAGTGCTCTTCACTGTCTGGTCTTCAACCCCCATCTGTCCACACCACACTGTCCTCTTATTTGGTTTCAATCTGTTGCGGAGATACGCTGYTCRTAGGACCTCCCCAAGTCCCATGGYTGCGATTCTCTTGATGACAGTAAAGCTTTTCTGAATGTCCCTGTTCAAGGAACAAAAGGCAACACGGCCTGCTGTTGGAGGGTCCACGTGGGATCGATTACGCTGTGAGGAGTTTCAGATAGGTTTTAGCTAAACGCACAAGGCACTGGGAGTCGGAGAAGGATCTRCTTGAAACAGGACCCAAGCATTCAGTAAAGGTGCCATCAGTGACCACAGCCAGGCTGTGTTCTAAATGTGGTGGTAAACTCCGCCACCTGCAMGTGTTTTCCATGGAGATAACAAGACGGGTGCAGTGGAGGGGCCGCTCGGAGGGGGGGAAACTGGACCTGCCACGGGGAGGGTTTCACTGAACCCKCGATTTCAATGATGGTTAAGATGCATCAGTATTTTGTTACCAGAGAMAAAAACAATTGCATTTAAACGATGACACGAGGCTTTAACAGTAGTTCTGGGAAGCAGTGAGTCACTGCAGCAGCCGGGGGTGGCTCTGACATTCCTTTGATCTATTCAGGGAGACGTGGGGATTTCTCACGCAGCTCCATGGCCACTGCTTGCCCTTGGCGTCTGGGCAGTGGAGTGTAAGCACRGCCTGGCTTTCCTGGGCACCCTCAATTCTAAGTCACTGAAGGAGCTGTAGGAGAGTAYATGCCTCCCGGCCGCTCTGGCCGAGATGGAATGTGGCTTCACTGATGTCTGACAGGCACCATGCTCTACTACGGGCCTGGTGGTCGGGGCGGGAGCAGGAGCCATGGGTGAGGGGGGGCACTACACACGCAGACTCAGTGGTGTGCTCCTGATTCTCAGAACCAGCCTATCTGCCATCAGACTAGAGGTATGGAGCCCAAAGGCACATGGGAAGGAAGTGCCAGTGCCCAAAGGTATGTCTGAGTCCAGTTTCCACAGGCAAAGGCGGGCCACCCTCCTGGCCACTGCAATCCCACCATAAAGAACTCGAAGCAGGAAACAAGGGCGTCCTGCCCCCGGCCACCCCCTGTCAGCACAGCAGCCGCCAACACCTGAACCCTCCAGGCGCTGGTATCCGAGTCTCTCATGAGCAGGGGTGTCACCCACCTGCCAGAGCCGGCTTCTCCTGAGCACAGCGGTGTCATTTCCATCAATGTTAGTGACAAGGCTCTTAGGCCAACCTCAAAAGGTCCCTCCTAACTAGAAGGCAGTTAAAATAATGGTGAAAGTTGCCCAGGGTCAGCCTTACTCTGAGCTGGGAAGACAGACAAGCAGCTAGCTCTCAGGTGCGTTCACCAAGCACCCGTGGCCCTGGAGCAGAAGGGGCGGGACCCCGAGTGCCAGACCTGGGGCCGGTCCGTTCTGCTGGCTGAACGAATGCCCATCAACTCTTACTGTGTCTATTTTAGGGACCACAGGCACAGAGAGGAATAAAGGCAAGCTCTTGGAACTTGAGGTTCTCAAAGTCTCTCTGACATAGATGTTGAAAAGGGTAGAGATGACGAAGGAGGGGTCCTGAGAGGAAAACGGGGACCCTAGAGGCAGAAAAGAGGCAGTGAGCATATATACAGGTTGTTCCTGAGGCTGGAGTCACACAGGGAAGGCAGCCTCCTTTCAACCAGTGGTTGAGGAAACAAAGCCCAATCTGCTAATCATTGGAGAGCAGGGAAGAAGCGTTCAACTGGTTCGGGTTTCTGCCAACYAATACCCAAGCAACTGAGAGTGGGCCAGGCTGAGGGGCCCCTGAGGCAGTCAGTACAGTGGGAGCCTCAGTGAGCAGCCAGGTAGGGAGACACCCACAGCTGTCACAGCTCACCAAGGACGCTGTGACAGGCTCACGCTCTAGGGCAGTATTCAGTGTGGGGCAGGTGTTCACACTGGTCTGTTTTCTACTGCTCTGACAAAACAYCTGAGGCTTGATAACTTGTTTTTCAAAAGGAGGTTGATTGATCCCAGCTTTGGAGGAACAGCGGGTGGCCACAGCCTCTGCTCAGCTCTGGCAAGGCCCCTAGGCTGCACTGCATCCTGCGTCACAGCGTCACGGTGAAAGAGTGCCAGAGGAGATCCCCTGGAGACAGGCAGAGTGTGCGAGAAGAGAGCACAAGGCAGGAAGGCTAGTGAGGCGAGGTCATGAGAAGTGTAGGAGACCATGGGGCAGGACGAGTGCAGGAGCAGAGGAGCAAGCGTCACAGCAGCGTCCTGACACCCGAGGCTTCCTCTG